AGCGGGGGTCAAGAGTAATCATCCCAAGCTTAGGTTGAAGTGAGTAAGATTACAGCCAGAGATTGGAAGCTCACAAATCCATAAGCAAGGTCCCAGTCAGGGATCTGGAAGGGCAAAGAGATGGCTCTGTGCAGGCTGAGTAAAAGGTGCTTTCATGGAGGGATAAATACACAATGTGCTGCCTCAGTGTTCATCATAGACTCGTTCTGGGAATCTACCAGCCACTATCTTCCTGAGGGAAAACGATGATGCCAATCCCACTGTCTTAACAATGGTACTGCCTGCTTTACTTAACACAGAAGATGCTTGGTAACGACGGCTTTATCCCATGCCACCTTCCCAACTAAACAAGCTCACTCCTCTCTCCACCCACAACTATAGTTTCCTACATCTCTGTCATTTCAGGGTATTTTTAGAAACAAAACTTCATAATAACATTTAGAATTGGTGCCTGATAACTTGATTACCTTCAGAGTCCTGGGTAAAGAGCAAATCAGGCTTCAGATTTTGAGTTGGCCCATCCTCCTGGCACTGAGCCCAAGGACTGTTAGGAAACAGCCCTAAGTCCTCATTCCAGTTATTGGTTACATCTTGAAAAGGAGCTCTAGTGTTGTGGGCAATGACCTGCTGGCCTTCAGAATCTTCAGTGAAAAGTTGACTCCAGGAGTCCTTGTCATTCTTTTCATTATCCCAGGAAAACGCAGAAATAGGACAAGGGCTTTGTTTCACTAATTTTATGTTTTCTGCATTCCAGGATTCCCCGTAGGTTTGAAGGAGGACAGGGGCCTGCCTGTTTTCTTTGGCAGACACCTTTCTTTCCAGTTTAGTCTTGCCTAAGGGCTGACAGCATTTGTCCTCAGATAGTTTGGTATGTTTCTCCATACCCTTATAGTTTTTCTTAGATCCATGAAGCCATTCCCTTTTCATGGCAGAATCCCTTTTTTCTTCCTTTTGGTCCATCAAACAAGAACTTTCCAAGTCCTCAGTGAAGGATAAAGCCAGTGGGGTATTACTCTCTCCAGTACAGTCTAGAGTATCAGGCTGGAGCAAAGATAGCTCAGTCAAAAATGGGGTTTTCATTCTGTGGTGGCCAGAAGTCTGGAGAGACTGAGGAGAAAGTCCAGCTTCCTGGATGTCTGCAGTGGTTGAAGTGGCTAAAGGGGATGTCATGCAATCATGTGCTAAGCCTGGGATCAGATAGTCTAGCTGGGTAGCATTTTTCTTGGACTCTTTGATTTGACTTTCTGTATGAGGTGAAACATTCTTCTGGTCACTAGCATTTGTCTTTCCTAAAACAGGAATGAATAAATATTATTCTGCAGAAAAACTGCCCTAAGCAGGATTTATTTGGCTTTTTCTGAAATCAATACTAGCTACTATTACTACTTAGTGCAGGAGTCAGGCTGTTCACATAACTTTGTAACTAATCTTCCTGCTTTCAACCTTGCCACTTTAATGATCTCTAAAACATCAGACCTTAAATTCCCTACTCAAATACATAAATGCTTCCCATCACCTACCTAATAAAGTCAAACATCGCATATAATCAGACCACAGCCTACTTTACCAGCTGAGTTTTCATTTGTGGGTTTAATATAGGGTATATCAGTTTTGCTTTTGTTTTTTATTTAATGTGGTTTTTACTAAATGGTGATCCTGGCCAAATATACATTCCTAGATATTATCTTTGAAGAAACATGGTAAACACACAGTAGTTTTGTAAGGTCTTAAAGATTACATTAACCATCCAACTCTGAGAAACCTTCTGGTGACAGCGTGAAAAACAGGTTCTCCACTTCCCAAGCATTTCATTGTAAAGGGAGTGAAGACACAGTTAGGATGCTAAGTCAATCAGTAGGTAGAATAGTAAAACAACTACTAGGGTTTGGCCTGTTAATTTTATCAGGCATCGAGTGGGTTCTGTTCTGCCTTAAGATAAAGATGAAGGGCATGGAATTCCCAGCTTGGCTCAAATTGTATCAAGATCTCATTATAAAAACAAAACAGAATAACTGACTTCCTCTTTCCTTCTCACATAAGAATTATACTACAGAAACTTAGGTTTTGTGAGAATTCTCAACTTTTCCTAAGAATTCAATATAGACTAAAATACACCAGAATTTGTAAATAGAAAAAGGTTTTTTTGTTGTTGTTTTTTGTTTTTTAATCTGCCCTTGTTACATAAAGCAAAAGAGTGTTTACATTTTTGTTTGGAGGAGGAAGAGGGCATTTTGAAGGTTTATGCAAAGCAATCCTGAGAATCACACCTGGCATTAGAGCACTCTTCCTCACACCCTCCAAGGGGCAGGAGCCCTGCTGTTTAAGGCCCAGCCTACTCTGAGTCAGCTGCTCCCCTGAACAGGGATCTGCAAACAAAGAACTGCCAAAGGATAAGATACAAACCAGTGAGCTTTTCTAAAAAAAGACATCTTTGAACCTTCATTAATCTGAGAAGCTTCACACAAAAATATCAATTATCAATTACCCTTACATAGAGGACCCACTGTGGCCAACCCAAGAAACATACCACCTAACTAATGGCAGGGCAACTCCCCAGTGCACCTCCAACACCCAAGTATACCTTTCCTTACTGCTCTGTCAGCAAATACAAATATTTAATTTTTTTTTTTTTTTTTTTTTTTTGAGACGGAGTTTCGCTCTTGTTACCCAGGCTGGAGTGCAATGGCGCGATCTCGGCTCACCGCAACCTCCGCCTCCTGGGTTCAGGCAATTCTCCTGCCTCAGCCTCCTGAGTAGCTGGGACTACAGGCACGCGCCACCATGCCCAGCTAATTTTTTGTAGTTTTAGTAGAGACGGGGTTTCACCGTGTTGACCAGGATGGTCTTGATCTCTTGACCTCGTGATCCACCCGCTTCGGCCTCCCAAAGTGCTGGGATTACAGGCGTCAGCCACCGTGCCCGGTCTACAAATATTTAATATTAAGCTGAGCAAAACAGAGCCAGAAAAGTAAATTTGTAAAAGCACATATAATACTGCTTTTCAAAAGGCAATGACTTCTTATGTTTTATAACCTCTTCTAATAGGTCAGCTAAGTTTAACACAATGCACTGGTTTCACCATTTGTCATATATGTTCTAACATGGACCAATGAACACACTCCATTTTTTGCTCTGGATAATTAAATATTCCCATATGGGTCACCATACCTGGCTGCAAGGTGAAGAAGGAAGCAATGCTTCTCTGGTGAATGCCTGTAGATGGAGCTCTTCTTTGATTAAAAGAAACCTTTGTCTGTCTGTCTCCAGGAAGGAGTGTTAACATTTTGGTGCCTGGTTTGATTAAATGTGTCTGAGAAAAAAGAGAAAAAGAATAATGAGCCTATTAATATTAAAAGACAGGAGAGATTCAGTACCCACCAGTGACCCTCTAAGAACCACACTAGACCCTTTGTACTCCACTTATATAGCCTGTTTGCCAGGTAGTTGGTGCTGGACATCATCTTCCATTTCCTGCCATCCTGACGGTGTTTTTCTCAGGAATCATATATTCCAATGACAGCCCAATCTTTCTGCTTCTCCATGGAAATCAGTCAGGCTGTCTAAACAAACAAGATTTGTTAAAGGGGTGGCAGAGATAATGCTCTTTTATATTTAAGGATAGTTAATGATTCTACATCAGCAGCAGTTGATGCATTTTCAGTAGTTTTAAAGTAGTCACACAGTGGTGGTTAAGAGCATGGCACAAGAATCAGTCCCAGTTCTGCCACTGCCACTTTGCTGTGTGACCGTCTCCAAGTTGCTTAATCTCTGTCTCATTCTCAAGTGTGAAATGGGGACAATAAGAGTACCTATCCATATGGCAGTTATGAAAGTTTAGTAAATTTATTCACATAAAGGCTTACACAGTTCCTGGCCCATAAAAAGCATTCAGTAACAGTTGGCTAATATTAAGAGGAGGAGCAGTGAAACAGCAGCAGTCTCACTACATTTTTAACTCAGCTACTTTTATTCTTTAGAGCTTGGAGCTGGAAGATAAGGCAAGAGAGGTTTCAGAAGTGAGTTGTCAACTAACTGTAAATATAACCTCATCCTTATTTAGTGTTTGTTTTTATTTCCATTTGCTTATTACAGAATACCTGAGAAGCAGGGAGAATAGGATTATATTCAATTCAATTTTGCTGTGTCTGCCAAAGAACAAATAAGATTTGACAATATTCATGCAGCAAGTTAGAGATTGGCCTGAAACTTGAAGCCAAGTTATTTATTCTAACTCAAAGTTGAGTTTTGCATTTGGAAACTTAAGTTGTACTTTAAGTGGTTAAAGAAAGAAATCCTGAAGGTAAAATTCGTACTTCAACATGTTGTATTACTGGTACAGAATCTTCTCTTCCACCACATACAACTAGAAAACTGGATCAAAGATATATGAAAAAATTGATATAAACAGCAGACGTTAGGCAGTAAAGAATTGTGATCCCTGAGAAAAGGGAAACAAATAAGGTGAGCCCTATGATCATTCCAGCTTTCTGCCCAGAGGCACTTTGCAGACCATAATGTATCTTTCTTGATGAACTGAGTAGACTGAGATTGGAATTCGTGAAAACTGAGGTAGCTGAGCTTTGCAGTGCAGAGAAACACCTCCGAAAGGGAGACTTCTGCATGGGGATGCCTTTATTCCACTACTGAATACTAACCTACACGTGTTAGGTGAAACCCCACAGCCAGGCAATGAAAGTGCGAACTAGAATTGCAAGCAGAGCAATTCCCAGAGCTCACACAGGCTGGGGGACATTTGTGTTCCCACTATCCAGATAGGATGACCTTGAATACCAGGGATATTGATTAGAGCTCTAAGGAGAATCATCCTTTAGTAGTAGAGCTAAGTTAGTCCTAGAGCAAAAACTATTCCAAACACTTACCTTAACAAAGCGTAAAAACAAGCTTTGAAAGTATCAAGCTGACTAGTAACTACCTGCCAAAACAAATTTCAATATTCTTTTTTTTTTTTTTTGAGACGAAGTCTTGCTCTTGTTGCCCAGGCTGGAGTGCAATGGCATAATCATGGCTCACTGCAATCTCTGCCTCCCAGATTCAAGGGATTCTCCTGCCTTGGCCTGCCAAGAAGCTGGGATTACAGGCACCTGCCACCATGCCAGGCGAATTTTTATATTTTTAGTAGAGATGGGGTTTTACCATGTTGGCCAGGGCTGGTCTTGAGCTCCTGACCTCAGGGGATCTGCCTGCCTTGGCCTCCCAAAGATTACAGGTGGGAGCCACTGTGCCTGGCCAATATTCTTTAATGATAACAATATCTAGATACTTAATGTAGCACTTGTAATGTCTAGCATACAATAAAAAATTACTAGATATGTGAAGCAGAAAAATATCTGTAATTGTGGTGGGGGTGAATCTGTTACTAGAAACAGACCCAGAAATGTGGTATGTACAAGAATTAGCAGACAAGTTAATAGTTAACTTAAAATAGTTACAATAAGCCAGGCGCGGTGGCTCACGCCTGTAATCCCAGC